GGCGGATGAATCAGAACTTCCCGGCCACGCTGTAACAGTTTTTGCCTGGTTATCAAAGAAACATGCGGTCTTGTGTTATCCTGATGGAAGATTATGCGTTTTCTGTTGACTAATTCTGGACGCTTTTAGTCGAGTGCCGCTTTCAGTTAGTCTAATTGGGAGCAGTACTTGTTGGAATTAATCGTTTGGTTTTCCAGAAGGAGCTCATAACAGAGGACTCCCTTCCAATTTCACCATATACACAACATCACCTTCTCTGGATGAAGACTGGCCTTTGGTGTGGTTGGTGGTGTTCATTTCACTTGCCCCACGATCTCTTCCATTCCACATTATTGTACAGTATCCACTTTTCATCACCTGTCACAATTTGTTTTAAAAATGGAACGTTTTTGTTACGTTTAAGTAGAGAATCGCATGCAGAAATAGGGTCAAGAAGGTTTTTTCCCCGCTTAACATGGAACTGAAACATCAAAGTGACTGACGTAACCCAGCTGGTGCACATGATTTTCAAAGCTTGATTTGGATATTCTGAGTATGTCGGCTATCTCCCTAGTGGTATAATGGTGATCGTTCTCAATTAATGTCTCGATTTGATTGCTATCAACTTCAACTGGTCTACCAGACCGCGGAGCATCGTCCAGCGAGAAATCTCCAGCACGAAACTTCGCAAACCACTTCTGACACGTTCAATCAGTCACAGCACCTTCTCCATACACTGCACAAATCTTTTCGTGTTTCAGTTGCGTTTTTACCTTTCTTGAAATAATAAAGCATAACAGGCCGAAAATGTTTTCCTTCCATCTTCAATATTAAAATGGCTACACAAAAAAATCACCAATTTTGGTAAGTCTTTTTTTAAATGCACGCTGATATGACAGCTGTCACATACAATCTAACAAAATTGTTCTGAATGAAGCTAAAGACAACCAAGTGCTGTGAGAGCCGTCTTACGGAAAAAACCGAACGAACCTTTTGGCCAATCCAATATATATACTGGACTAACATTTAGTCGTTCAATTATCAAGATTATTTTTTATATTTACAATTCTTAATAGCTTTCTTGTTTCTCACTACAGCCAAGTGATTGTTGATATGTTAACTCATCTATTAGTAAATTTAGTTTTCTTGAATTTCTAGGAGTCTACCTTCAGCTGAAAAATCATGTTAACAAATCACATCAAGGCTATGGTTTTACTGAAGAAGTTTAAATAAACTGCCCGATAGAAACCAATTAACAAAGGTGCTGTCATTCTATACTGACATGGAAAAAAAATGTGCTAAATTAAAAACTACTGTTCCGTGGACTGGCTCCATGAGACCAATGGATAGAACTCTATCACTCCCATTTTAGAGGATTCTCAAAGTCATACTAGGACCAGAGAACTACCTCTCACTAAGAGGGCTCGGATGGACAAACAAGCTGAGTTGCTGACACCTAATAAGTGTGTAAACAGTCCATTTGATTACGCTGCCCACGAAGCAGTACCTCAGTGAATGCAAATGAGATGTTTTGAAAACTGCGTGTTTTCAAAATCAGTTAAGACAGACACAATCATGGAAGTATCTTTCAAAGAACTGAGGCCACTGACACAGAACAGCAGTGTATTTTTATACAAGTCAGTCTATTTCACAGAAGCCTGTGAAATCCAGCCTGTCTAGTGACAATTTGCCTAAACTTTCCTTCTCAGTAAGCAGTTAGTGGCTGTAGCAGTGACAACAGGTGGGCCACCGACATCCTGGCCGGGGCATGGCACATGTAAACAGGATGAAAGATGCTTGTGCTGCCTAAGTCTCATTACAGTGATTATTTTTTTTATAATTAATTAATTTTTGGCTGTGTTGGGCTTTGTTGCTGCGTGCGGGCTTTCTTTAGTTGCGGCGAGTGGGGTCTACTCTTCGTTGTGGTGCGCGGGCTTCTCATTGCAGTGGCTTCTCTTGTTGCGGAGCATGGGCTCTAGGTGCGCGGGCTCCAGTAGTTGTGGCACACGGGCTTGGTAGTTGCGGTTCGCGGGCTCTAGAGCTTAGGCTTGTAGTTGTGGCGCACGGGCTTAGTTGCTCCGCGGCGTGTGGGATCTTCCCAGACCAGGGATCGAACCTGTGTCCCCTGCATTGGCAGGCGGATTCTTAACCACTGCACCACCAGGGAAGCTGCTACAGTGATTATTTAATATAACAGAAACGGATTTTTTTTCTAAATTTCCACTCTCACCCTTATTTTTTTCATCCCTTAGAACTATATCCTGGCTTGAAATGAATCATGTCCTCAGAACTTTAGACATTATAGCCAAGAGCCTTCCTCTCAAAAAATAAATAAGTAAATAAAAGCTGTGTTTATAATCAGATATGTTATTTGGGGAGATGGGAAAAGGAAAGAGAACGATACTGGAAAAAAGATCTGAAATCACATGATACCATTCAGAGATTTAGTTTCTGTAGTTTCAATATAAGTTTCATATCATACAAAATCTCTTACCATGAGTAAAAAAAATTTTTTTAAGTTTTTTTCCCTATGATCCCATGAAGGTTGTCTATGACATTTTAGGCTTTAGATCTTAAACCCCAGGATTATATCTTAAGCAGTTACACAATGTAGGAATCCAGGAACTTTTCATGCCATGCCTGCTGGCATATGGACTTATGCAGACACTCTGCAGAGCCAAGTACACAAATGCCTCAGCAATCCCACTCCTGTCTGTGTATCTGACACAAATCCACAAGGGCACATGGGTGAGACTCTTCACTGAAGTACTGTCTGTGCAGGTAGGAAGAGAGAAGCTGGTTCAGTGTCCACTGCTGGGGAACAGGTACATAACAGGTGGAAGATGTAAACTATGGGATCCTCTTCAGGAGTAGAAACAAGGAACTAGCTGTACACACAGGTGCGTGGATAAATCGCATAAGCAGTGAAGGCAGAAATATAGTGACATGTAGCACAAAGCCACTTATGCAATTAAAAAATACGTGCATGGGGCTTCCCTGGTGGCGCAGTGGTTGAGAGTCCGCCTGCTGATGCAGGGGACGCGGGTTCGTGCCCCAGTCCGGGAGGATCCCACATGCCGCGGAGCGGCTGGGCCTGTGAGCCA